TCCTTGAATCACTTTGCCTTTCAAGCCCATTCTCAAAGACTTTACTCTTTTTGATCAGCTTTACTAAAATTATCGTCAAGAATAATTTTCTTTGTTATTTGACAATTATTGTTTTAGTTACTTGTTAAAATTAATTATTATTAACATTTAAACGAATAATTACTGTGTTAAATAATAATCTTTTTATCAAGTTTTCAGATTCGTTGAATCACTTTTTAGCCTTTTAAGGCCATCCGTAAAGACAGTTATTTTTATTTAACAATTATTGTTTCAGTTATTTGTTACAATTAATTATTATTAACATTTAAACGAATAGTTACTGTGTTAAATAACAATCTTTTTATCAAGTGTCCAGATTTTATAAAAGCTTTTTAGCTTTTCAAGGCCATTCTCAAAGACTTTACTCTCTTTCTCAGCTTTACTGAAATTTTTGACAAAAATAATTGTTTAATTTATTGGTTATAATTAATTATTATTAACAATTAACATTTAAACCAATAATTACTGTGTTAAATAATAATCTTTTTAAGGTTTCTAAATTCTTTGAAAGCTTTTTAGCCTTTCAAGGACAACTTTGAAGATTTTACAAAGTTTGTTAGCTTCACTGATCTTAATCATTTTTTTTATTTGACCATTATTGTTTTATCTATTATAATATAATTTATTATTATTTTATATTAACGAGAAAAATAATTTATATTTTAATTAATCTTTGCTTGCATTAGGCCAAGCCATCACGAATCGAAGAACACACGTCCTTTCATTTAATTAATAAATTGTTATTAAACCACTTAAGAGTTTTACTCATAAGTATTATTTAGTTTTATTTAATAATATAAATATTCGGGCAAATGTTGTCTCTTGGTTTTTCAGTCACGTTTCTCGAGAAACTAACATTAAAAAAAAGTAAAGTAAATGAGTATATCTAGCACACGGACGATGAAGATAGACCGAGTTTTCCCCCACCCGTCCGTAAATCGAGCATTTAAGTGGGGATGACTCTCGGCGCAGGTATAAATACGCGTCTTCTAACAGCAGCGGATCATTATCTCGCCGACGATCGACAAGAGTTATAGAGCCTCTCATAGAGTTTTACTCTTTTTTTTTCTTTTGTCGTAACGCTTAGAAGAACCGTATTATACCAGTAATGGCTGCATCAAAGGAAGGAGGTTTCCCTGCCATCGAAGATTTCTCCACGCTCATAGTGCAACGCATCATCACAACATCAACCGACAACGAGCAATCACAATGGAATCTTCCTGTCGAGGACTCTGGACTGATTGCCATTAAACGGCAAGACATGGATGGACTCATCACGAGAATTCAATCGCTCGAGCGCGACAACATGAAGCAAGCTGAAGTTATTCGTTGCTTAAACGAACAGATTGAAGCACATCCAGAGAAGCTTGCTCCTAGTGTTGAAGCAAAAACAGCCGATCTGTATCTTACTCTATTCAACATCACTGCAAAAGAGAGAGATACCAATGAAAAATTATTAACAACCACCATCGAATTAAATGAGAAGAAAGAAAAAATCTACGAATTGGAGGAAACCATCGATTCGTATGATTACGATTATAAATCACTCAAAAAGGACTGTGAAAATCTTCGTAGAAAATTGAAGGTGATCCGTAACGTGTTTCAAACAACAATGAATGAAGTCTTCCAGGCACAAGTGGAGATCCGCGACCCTCGTCTTCGTTCGAAAGCTGCTGAAGGATGTCTTAATTGCGACAAAGTGGGTCATGCATATCGTCAGTGTCCTGAACAGTACAGCGGGGCATTTTGTCAAAAATGCGCCAGCCCCGATTTTTCGACGAGCGACTGTCCTTGGCCACACAGTTCATCAAACAACAACATCGTCACCGAAGGCAAACGCTGCAAAATATGCTGGAGGTCACCCAACAAGCCGGACATCTGCTGCTACGAATGCAGAAAACGATTGAGAGATGCCACTGTAGAAAAGAGACTCAACGATCATATCCAGTCTGAGATGAAGAAGAAGTGTTCCAAAAAATCATTAACTGAGCCACCAAAACAGAGCCTCATCACTGTGCTGTCGTCAAAGAAGATTGTCGAGAAGAAGAAGTCGCTTCAGTTGAACTCTGACGATAGTGATGAGGAATAGAGACATAAAATTTTTTCAAAACCCAAAAACAAAACAATCTGCCCTTTTCAGGGCCAACAAAGGTTTTTACGTTCGAATTCTCTGTTTATTCACAATATATAAAAATAACAATTTTCATTTCAGAAATTAACGCAACTTATTACTTTTAAATAATAATGAAAGTTTTTTTTTTTCTTGTCATTTTCAAAGCAATTTTTGATGCTGTAGATGTTAATTTAACGTGTCACTGATAGATGAGTCATATTTTAATTGAAACATTAGCTTTCATTTAAGTCTTGAATGAATAAATTCTAGCCAGAAGTTTCAGAAATTTTTAATTTTGAAATTTCACACCTTTGAGAATTGGAAAATTTTCGTTTCTCACTGTCATTTTCAAAGCAATTTTTGATGCTGTAGATGTTAATTTAACGCGTCACTGATAGATGAGTCATATTTTAATTGAAACATTAGCTTTCATTTAAGACTTGAATAAATAAATTCTAGCAAGAAGTTTCAGAGATATTTAATTTTGAAATTTCAAGGCCATCTTTATAGAATTGGAAAATTTTCGTTTCTCATTGTCATTTTCAAAGCAATTTTTTATGCTGTGGATGTTAATTTAACGCGTCACTGATAGATGAGTCATATTTCAATTTAAACATTAGCTTTCATTTAAGACTTGAATAAGTAAATTCTAGCCAGAAGTTTTAGAGATTTTTAATTTTGAAATTTCACATCTTTGAGAATTGGTAAATTTTCGTTTCTCACTGTCATTTTTAAAGCAAGATTTAATGATGAAATTATTAATTTAACGCGTCACTGATAGATGAGTCATATTTTAATTGAAACATTAGCTTTCATTTAAGACTTGAATGAATAAATTCTAGCCAGAAGTTTTAGAGATTTTTAATTTTGAAATTTCAAGGCCATCTTTGAAGACTTTACAATGTTTGTTAGCTTTACTGAACTTAATAATTTATTTTATTTGACAATTATTGTTTTATTTATTATGTTATAATTTATTATTAATATTAACGAGAAAAATAAGTTATATTTTAATTAATGTTTGCTTGCATCAAGGCCAAGCCATCGCAAAACGAAAAAAACACCCTCTTTCTTTTCATTTAATTAATTAATTATCGAACAACTTAAGAGTTTTATTCATTAGTATTATTTAGTTTTGTTTAATAATATAAATATTCGGTCAATTATTGTCTCTTGGTTTTTCAGTCACGTTTCTCGAGAAACTAACATTAAAAAAAAGTAAAGTAAATGAGTATATCTAGCACACGGACAATGAAGACAGACCAAGTTTCCCCTACCCGTCCGTAAATCGAGCATTTAAGTGGGGATAACTCTCGGCGCAGGTATAAATACGCGTCTCCCAACAGCAGCGGGTCATTATTTCTCCGGCGTTCGACAAGGGTTTTACCCTCTATAGTCTTACTCTACTTGGTCAGCCGAATAGAAATAGCAACTTTCCTACCGCAATGGTCTTGCGGCTAGGTATTTGACGGTCATCGTTTGTACATCGAATAGACTCGAATAGGCGTTAAACTTGTGAGTTTTACTCACAAGTATTATTGAGTTTTACTCAATAACATAAATATTCGGGCGATTTTTGTCTCTAGGGTTTTACTCAAGGACAATAGCGTAGAATATTCCGAGTTTTACTCGTACTTATCGCGGTAAATTTCGATTATTGTCGTGCCAAAATGAAATTAAAACGACCACCACCAACGTTTAATGATTTTCTTCCACCGATCATCGCAACTACAACAGCAGATGCTCCTGCACCATCGTCATTGTCGAAAGTACTCAACAATCGAAACGCAAAGAGACGTTGCGCTGCAAAATCGAAAGCATCAAAGGATGGAGGCGGAAAATCATGTGCACCGAATCGAAAAAGAAAAAGCGATGAACCAAACAAGGAAGAACCGAAGAAGAAGAAGACGACAAAGAAGCATGCGAAGGATTCCGACGACAAATCGAAAACGAAACAGACATTCGACAACGAGTGGGCAAGAAAACGCGCAAAACGAAAAGGCACTCGTAAATCTACCGTTAAATCGTTCCTCGGTACAATATCAAAATCTCGTCTCATCACGGAGAGGATTCTCGAAGATGCGAAAATTGTTTCTCGAATGAAAATTGAAGTGTCATTAATGGCATTACAATTTTTATGTCATTCGACGAATAAAAATCTTCTCGAATCGTGGAGTAAGAATGGACCAAATTACGTACAACTGTTCATTGCTCTGAAGAGAAAAAATGTGACTGTGCAACGAGATGCAGATTTTGTTCAATTAATAGACGAGTACAAGGAGATACGTGGTGGAAATCGAGAATTGTACGACTGTGAATTTCGCACTTCGATCATCAAAGAAGCTAGTCGTCAAATGGATCGAGAATTCAAAACGAATTTCAATACTCACTTCGAGAGCCGACTCACGCGATTGTTTCAGCATCTGTTGTCGATCGATAACAATCCACCATCGACGAGCAGGGAGGATGACGACAATACTTCTCCAAACATCGATTCTGAAAATGCGAAAAGGAACAGAAGACGTGCAAAGAGAAACGAAAGATAACGAAGGAAGCGAAAAGAACACAAGGCGCAAATTCGTGCAGAAAGAAGAGCTGCTGCCCAACAATTTCGACCTGCCATTCGTATGACGAGTGAACAAATTAAAACAGCGAAAATTGAAGAACGAATTGAGCGTCGAGCTAGAGACAATTCGCATCGTCGTCGTCGTCATCAGGTACGAATCTTGAATCATCGACAAGAAAGAAGGCTGTGCAGCAAGTGCAACTCTTGCTTGACAAAAATCGTTGCGACATTCCTGCGTTTCAACAGTTTCTTCAGGCCGATGAAAATTTAAACTTTCAAGAAATGAAGAAACATGTTAATGACGATGAAGATGAGAAACAAAACTCGGATTGGACCAAGTTTATTCCATTTATGCTTCGGGTACAACAATTTTTTCACAACGAAAATGTTCGTAATTTCGTGGTTGTACCCCAGACAAACTTGGGAATTGCCCACGTGTTGTACACAAACACTGGCCTTGTTGATCTAAAAAAAGGCGTAGAACACGATAAATGCCAATATTTGATGGATGAAATGAACAGTCGTCGAGGAATTTCATCGGTACAAAGAAAAGCTCAAATTCAACGTGTAAAAACTGAACGAGATGATGAAATTCGACGTTTCTTGCAAATTGAAGGCAAGGAAGCTCGATGGCGCGATATTTTCGATTTCTCGAAAGTCGAACGAGGCAAAGAGGATTCGTTTGGAGAATCAATCAGCTCCAACGGCGTCGACATTTCGATTCACTTTAACGTTCCAAAAGTGAAACAACAACCGCCTGCGAACGACGAGGAAAATACGATGCCCGTAAACCAAAAGTACAGAATGTTTTACGGATTCGATCCAGGGAAGAAAGCAACATTTGACGGCGTTCGACGTACCGGCACTCCACAGCCATCATCGACCAACAAGCAGAAGGACCAGCATATTTACGTAAAAAGTAAAAGTTTTCGTTGGCAAATGGACGAGTATCGGCGTAAGGAGAAAATGAAACAACTTGATCTCGATCTTCAAAGTTACTTCAAGCAGTACGTACGAGATTTTCCGACGATGGAAAATTTTACGTGGACAAATCCAGCAGATTACGCGCGTATCGTTCGATACAAGTTGCACTTGATGGATCGTTTTCAAGTGGTGCACGAGAAGAAAAATGTCGTGAGACTTAAAATGGACAAGTACATGTCACAACAGCGCGAATGTGACAAATTCGTCAATTTTATGATTGGCGATACGAAGAAGAAGCATTGCTTGGTCGCAATGGGCAATGCTTCTTTACCAAATTTCACGAAAGGATACGTCGGCAGTCCAATGGCACGATTAAAAAAATCGTTCTTCAATCGTTCGAATCAACTTGGGAAGAGACTCTTGAAGATCGTCAATGTGAAGGAGCCGTACACGACGCTTTCGTGCAGCACTTGCTGTGCGTTACAATTCAAATCAAAGTCTCCCAATCGTTTCACTCGTTGCGATGTTTGTCGACTCACGTGGGAACGTGACATCAATGCTGGGCGGAATATCCTCAACATTGGCCTGATCGACGAAGAACTCATCGCGAAGGATCCACCATTCAACGAAGCACTCTTCAGATATCGAAAGTAAGTTTTTATTTGATAAAGATTAATTTCATTCGAATTTTCTAATAAACACTGATTTAAAAATTAATTTCAGTTGAATTGAAAAAAAATTGGTTTGAAAATTCTTTAAAAAAAATTTATTAAAAAGTTATCAATAATAATTGATTTAAAAAAGAATTTTAGTTTATTGTTTAGTTTTAAAAATAATATTTTCTTTTTCACAGCTCTCTACGAATCGACGACGACGACGATGAGTGATTTCATTACGATGTGTGATTGACCAAAAACCAAAAAGAAACTTTATTCGACATTGGCATGGCAGCCCGGGAGGAAGTAGAAACGGAAACTTCGTTTTGCACCCTTTTCGGCGACATGCCTTTCGAATTCGATCGTAGTCCAGCGTAAAAAGCGTACAGGCTTATGTATGTAAGCAGAAAATTAAGGAGTACCTCTCGATTTTGGGGGCTGACCGAGACTAGACTGTAGTCTAAAGTCAGCCCTCGTGAATGTTTTCGATGTGTGTGAATGAATTGAGAGAGCGATTTTCGATATTTATAAAATATTTTATTATAGTTTCTATTTTGCGATGAAAATTTTTCAACTCGTTTAATTTCTCAATTTTTTAATTTACAAAACTACTTTTTTTAATTTAAATTCAAACAATAAAATTAGTATAAATTACAATTTTTTAAAACACTTTAACAAATTTCTTTATTTCAATTTTTTCTTTTTAATTAAGTACAAAACTTTTTTTAAATCAAAACAATTTGTCTTTTGTTGTCTGTTTAGAACATTTTCAAGTTCAGCAAAAAGAAAAACATGTGCTTTTACACAAAACCAATTTTATAATAATTAACACACAATTGTTTCACTTGTAACATTGTATTTATTGTCTAATTGAGATCTCAAAATTTAACATAAAATCATTTTAATAAAATTAGAAAAATAAACAATATAGCACACAATATACAAAACGATATATTATAACGACTATCACCCGTCGCCTATATTTCGATACTGACCCCCCAATCCCCCTCGAGCTACTCAGTCCACCCAAAGAGGAAAAGAAAGACAGCACCGAAGACAGAGATAGCGTTCGCGATCACTCACACTTACATTCAAGCTTAAACATTGTCCGAGTTGAAAAATTTTCCATTTTACATATTAATTATTCACATTAGTAATATTTCTTTTTAATTTATTGTTATTTTTTTCATATGAAAATTTTTATATCTTAATGTTTTAAGAACAATTGTACATCGACAAAACTCCTTCATGTAGTCGCATTCTCGCTGAGAAAAAGTGGTATTACCACAAGCGGTTTTACCGCAGCAGGGCTAAAATGGTGTTACTTTTGGTCCTGTAACGCTCTTTCACGCAAAATTGTCGGTACCGTTTCGGAAAGTCGTCGTCGTCCGAAATGTCGTTTATCCTTTTATTTTAATGCAACTCGCCGCGTTACTTTTACGGAAAACCACGTTTTGATTAATAATGTATTTTATTATCGTTTAAACTAATCGTTAACGTTGTCAAATTCGCGATCGACGCTCAAAGTTAAATTTACGTTTACGTCGTTTTCGTATCGATTCTCGTCTCCGCGTGGATGAGTTTATTTATTTCTTTTATCAAATTCTTTGTATCGCTTGTTTTGTAAATAAATGTCGAATTTCATTCTGTAATCGAAATTTTAACAAAATTTTTTTAACGAACCCTGACCGACGAGCAATCCCAACCTTAACATTCATTACAGATTTGGCGCCATTGTTTTGAAATTAATTAATAGCGCAACTTGAAGTGACTGTGAGGACGCGACGGCGGAGAAACTAAAACTCTTTGTTCTATTTCGTGAGTACAATTAGGGTAATTTGCTATATGGATACGATAACACCATACAGCACGACATTTGAATTCATGATGGCACACAACGTACATACATAGAATGTGTAACGTACAACTTCATTCAGTGCTCATATGCAGATAATAAGGAGCTATTAGTTGCACGTTGCATGAATTTACTCCAAATCGATGTTCTTTAACACGCCACAATACCAAAAGGATAATACACCAACGTATGCATTTACTGCACGAAGATAAAAGTTGAAATAAAATGGACATTCTTCGCAAAAGACAAAACTTGCAAGGCCTTTCAATTTAATTTAACTCAAATACAATTATTGTCAAGCACCTTGTTCGTCTCGTGTAATGCATTCAACAACACGTGTAGAAAAGGGGAATATTGATAAAATTAAAGCATTTTAAAGGAGAATCTGATAAAAGTTAAATACGAGTAGTGCAAAATGTGTTACCCACGCTGCAAACGACAGGTCAGAGGTTAACTTCCCTCTAAATAGCGCGCACGCGCACACAAGGTTACAGAGCTAGAAGTGAATATAATGTGGGTTAATGATATAATTATGTCACCGCTTTCGCTGTAATGTCCGTTTAATCGGGCAGCTGCTGCCATGCCACTATACCTCAGCGAGTCGGCGACTCGATCCGCTCGTGCATTTTTCAAGAGATCGCACGCTTTACATTTAAATATCTATGTACTACATTATTCATATATTAGAAACATCATGTTATTCCGATTTCCTCTCTAAACGTTGGGAGATAATATCAATATCACATTACTGTGATATTGCTAGGTCCAAATGTTAATCAAGATTTCGAAGAAACTGTCACCCCAACTGAGACACGAGCCTAAGAATAAGAAGGGTGAGGCAATCAGAATCTAAAGCGACAGGTTCAACACTTGGGCAATTATAATTAGTTGAGAAACAGTTGCATTTGTTTAGAAATTAGTAGGCAAAGTTTGAGTGCACCAGAAAGCCTGATACAAATTGAGGTCAACTTGTATTAGGAAAATATTACTGAACGAGTATTATAGCCAGGTTTCGTGAGTCACTCGAGGCATTCGTCTGAAATTCAGACAAGATCTCTTATTCCGTGATCTCTAATCATCTTACCAACAGAGGGTTTTGCCAAGTAAAACGAGAGCGTCATGGAACATTGCTAAACTAAAGTTTATGCGATGTGAGTGGTAAACAGTTTGACTTTCAAATGACTCTTGCAGCTGCGAATATAAAGCAGAACTTTTTCTCGATTAGAGAAGCGAAAGCAGGTAAAAGAGTCTTTGATTTGAAAAGTTGATGAATATTTCATAAAATGAATAGCACACGGAACCAAAGAGATACACTTGAGTGTTGACCGGAACCGCAATAACAATTTTTATACGATTAATGACGCCAAGAGTCTTTGCTTTCTGTGTGCAAATTTATCTTCCCAACAAACTGCAAATTTTGAATCAGTGAAATTTCTTACGCAAATATTAATAATAATGAAGCGTCACTCTTTGAAAAGTGGGTCCCTACTTTCAGCATTGAAATGCATAGGTATTTCAAATATAGAACAATTCGCTTTTCTGAGTGTACAATAATAACAGTAGATGAATTAAGCAACAAGGGGCTAAAGGCATTCATTTCAAAATTATATGACTATTACAGTAAAAGCATTATTATTTATTCTTGTAGAATTTATATTTCCATAGAGGAATTAGGCTTTTTCATATTTTTAAATTATGTATTGAATAATAATATATAGTTTATGATAATATATTATTATTATATATTTATCATTTTTATATAGTAATAATAATATACATATGACTGTTAAATGTTGGCGCATTCTCCGTACTTTTCATCGTAAAATACTAAATAAATTGGACTCAACTATTGTGAACAAGTTTTCAAGTATGAAAGATTTAATATTAAAAATGTTTTTAATATTTTGCCAAACATTTTATTCCTAAACAATCACATGTTAAAACGTATAAATCATCTTAGATAGCAATAAGAAAACATTTTACTATAGTTTTCTATCTTACGTCTTATTTTATTCAAGATGTCAAAAAAGTCACCTATTTTTATAGTTTGAGAAAAGAAAAGTAGTCAAGTATTTGTTAAAAGAGACAATTTTCAATAATTCCTTACGACATTAATATAATATATTGGTGTATAAGTATTTTGAAATGTTGGATGAAAATGAATATATATCTGTCTGATTTGCGCGTTGCTGGAATTCTCTCTTTCTTCTCTGACTATAAGATTTTCAATCATTCACAGGAAATAACCAAGTTCACATCGGAGATGAGATTTTCCAGAGGGCTGCCGAATCGTTTTATACTCTTAAATTAGATATTACATAGATCCGCGACTAAATCATTCTCAGTTATATCTCTCGGTGAAAAACAGTACATTTAGATATGTACAATGAAATGCTTATTTTTTGTTAACCTGTTGACGTTCATCAATGTATACTAAGCGCCTGCAATAAACAATATATGGTTATAAACTAGTTAATTGTCACGATGGAATCTATTCATTTAGATTTGTACCTAAAATCGCAGTTTTCTTAATGCTTAGGTAAAGGAACTGCTTTTTTATTTTAAATGAATAATTTTTGCAAATCTATGATTTGTTATATATAAATAAAAAAATTACATAAATATCATATAGTGCAGAAAAAAGTCAACACTAGTAGAGAATGTTTTAACACAACATAAAGTCGACTTTCACTGAAAGTGCTTAATTTCTTTAAAGGTGTTTGGCTGAGGTAATAATAATAACGCACGCTTGTAAGAATTAATCTGCTTCTGATATGCAGGACACTTGGATTATTGCAGTTTGGGCGAAAAGAAGCAAAAGGCTTAAAAGTGTGTGGATAAAGTGGTTCAATTTCATTTCTAAATGTACATCTTACTTTGTGCACATCTCTATTTAATTTAAAATGAGAGGATTTTGTATACGACTCTGTAAGATTTTAGTTATTAAATTGCTGCTGTCGTAAGTTTGTTGGTCTTGTAGATGTGCAAATAGTACACAAACATAACAAGCACTATTCGGCTGAGATGGGCTGAGTTTACCATTTCATTGGGTTCGAAGCAATCTAATATAGTTGAAAGTTGCTTTGGTAGCTGCGCGAGAAAGTTGTAGGTGAAATTTGCGAGTTCCACAAGTTTTATGGCGCTGAGAAGTCAATTTCCTTTTTGCAATGTTACCACAAACGCATTGGCTGCATGCAAATTTCTCCTTTTTTGAGGACATTAATTCGTTCGCTGCACAGCAATAAGGAGACTGTATTAAACTAAATCCTTTATTATGGGAGTGGATCGAATATTTATGATAATTGACTTTTTCGATCTGTTTTGCCATGTGCTCTTTTTATGCTGCAGCTTCAGCAACAGTGCAATGCGGATATCGAGGTTGCTGCAAATGTGGCAATGAAATATTTCGAGTAATTCTCATCATTAAGCAATGTTTAAATTGAAGGATCAATATAGAGCGGCGAGTGGAGTTGAATTCATTTTAGTTGCGATTTTTACTATTTTTGACTTGTGATGAATATCGTAAAAGAAAATAAAATAGTGTTTTATGTCGTGCAACCCTCGCAAGAAGTTTTATATGCACGATTGCGCAGCCGCTTGCATCACACGTTGGCAGCTTTTCCGATTTGTCGATGGAACGACGACGACGACGACGACGACGACATCCGAGTGATCCACTGTAAAACAAACGTGAAATAGGATCGAGTCGAATTCAATTGCCAGTTGCCGACAGTGAGATGGTGGTATGTCGATGTCGGTCACGTACGTCGAT